GCTTCAGGGTCCTGGAGGTGTACAGTTCCTGGAGCGACAGTAGACTGCAGCCAATCACCTTCTCAGCAGACCGAATGACACGCTGCAGCCTGCCCTTATCCTTGGCTGTAGCAGCGGCGTACCAGATTCAAAGGCTTCTTCTGAAATGTTCAGTTATTGTTTCATTGGTGTAGTATTTTTAGGCAAAGCTTTATGCCTTTTCAGTGTGGCTAATCGAATGGACTAAGAGCTGTGTCAGTCTGTTTTGCTGCGTCCCACATCCCAAAGATTTTCAATGGGATTAAGGTCTGGACTCTGTGGTGACCAATCCATGTGTGAGAATGATATCTCCTGCTGCCTGAACCACTCTTTCACAATTCGAGCCCGATGAATCCTGGCATTGTCATCTTGAAATATGCCCGTGCCATCAAAGAAGAAATATCCATTGATAGAATAACCTGGTCATTCAGTGCATTCAGGTAGTCAGCTGACCTCATTCTTTGAACACATACTGTTGCTGAACCCAGACCTGACCAACTGCAGCAACCCCAGATCATAGCACTGCCCTCACAGGCTTGTACAGTAGGCACTAGGCATGATGGGTGCATCACTTCACCTGCCTCTCTTCTTACCCTGATGCGCCCATCACTCTGGAACAGGGTAAATCTGGACTCATCAAACCATATGACCTTCCATTGCTCCAGAGTCCAATCTTTATGCTCCCTAGCAAATTGAAGCCTTTTTTCCCCGGTTAGCCTCACTGATTAGTGGTTTTCTTAAGGTTACACAGCTGTTCAGTCCTAATCCCTTGAGTTCCCTTCGCACTTTGCGTGTGGAAATGCTCTTACTTTCACTATTAAACATAGCCTAGAGTTCTGCTGTTGTTTTTCGTCGACTTGATTTCACCAAACGTTTAAGCCGATCATAATCATTCAGGATTTTTTTCTGGTCCATATTTCTTCCTCGAAGACTATGGGTCCCTACTATCCTTCCAGTTTTTAATAATGCGTTGGACAGTTCTTAACCCAATTTTGGTAGTTTCTGCAATCTCCTTAGATGTTTTCTCTGCTTGATGCATGCCAATGATTTGACCTTTCTGAAACAGACTGACATGAAATGAGAAGCCACTCATTGCACCACTTGGGGTTAAATAACTTGTTGCCAGCTGAAACATAATCGCCCATGCAGTAATTATCCAATGGGCTCATACCTATTTGGATCCCTGATCTGTCTACAGTGGTTCTTGATCTTTATAACGTTCATTAATGTTATGTGTTAGCAAACCTCTGAGGCGGCTGCACGGTGTTGCAGTTGGTAGCACTGTTGCCTTGTTGCCTTGCAGCAAGAAGGTCCTGGGTTCGACTCCTGGCTGGGGGTCTTTTCTGCATGGAGTTTGCATGTTCTCCCTGTGCATACGTGGGTTCTCTCCAGGTACTCCGGCTTCCTCCCACAGTCCAAATACACGCCTGTTAAGTTAATTGGTCTCTCTAAATTGCCCTTAGGTGTGTGAATGAGTGTGTGCATGGTTGTCTGTGTGTTGCCCTGCGATGGACTGGCAACCTGTCCAGGGTGTACCCCGCCTCCTGCCCATAGACTGCTGGAGATAGGCACCAGCTTCCCCGCAACCCAATATGGAAGAAGCGATATAGAAAATGACTGACTGACCTCTGAGGCCTTCACAGAACAAATGTAGTTATACTCAGATCAAATTACACTCAGGTGGACTTTATTTACCAACTAGGTGGCTTTTAAAGGCAGTTAGTTGCATTGGATTTTATTTATAGGCATCAGCTATTTTTTTGTCAGTGTATATTGGAAGATTTTCTGTAAAAAAAAACGTTTTCTAGTCCTACCACATATTAAAATACAAAAATTGCTAAGTGTTAAACCATTGTAACACTTAGCATTTCCTTCCACAGCAGGATAAAGAACTAAGATTGAGAACCCCTACCCTAGACTGTAAACCTAATTACATAATCCTCTATTCAATGACATAACAAGCTATGGCAGCAAAACAGTGAATGAAAGTTGTCTCTCTTTTAACCACTGTGTTTCCTCTGTTGGACTTTCTACGTTTGTGTATTCTCATCTGCAGTACGGTTTTACCCTTGTGGTGAGTATTTTTGCATATTTAAACATTTGAGATGCTTTGTGAGCTCACGCCACCCACTAAACACATAAAATTACCATAAAACAAATATCATACCCCAGAACTCATTGGTCATGCAGGTACTTTCTCAGTAAGCTGTGTGTAGGGCAGCTTAATGCGCAACAGTTAACATAACACACTCCAAATCCAAGCTTTTATCTGTGAAAAAAACAAAAGCATGCAAATCCACACAGAGATACTGACAGATGCAAATAAGTACTCAGGATAAATGTGGTGCCTCAATGGATCTTGTCAATTTGAATATATACAGTTGTATAACCCAAGAAAAAAAATGTAGCAAAAATAAACTATGAACTGAAATAAAAAAAAGAGAGGCAATGAGACTGATACTATTATAATGTTGAAAAAAATATTGTTTAACCTTAATATGCCCAACTGAGTAATTCAGTACACCAATATGCAATTTCTCTAAGTCTGACTGAGGCTTAGTTGGCCTTCCTGCTGTACTCAACCAGGACACTGCATGACATGCATTGACCTAGACTTAGATGCGTTTAGATTAGGAAATCTCCAACCATAGAAATTTGGGCCACCAGCCTACATTTCTCTGTAACCCACTATGTTTATTTCCAACGAGATGAACCAGATGAAACAAAAACATTGAGATGCAAAAGGAAGTGGTGGATTTATCACAAAATAAATAAGAAATAGAAATAGAGCTGTGTTGGGGTGGAACAAGGACTTTTTTAAAGTGTTCTACATGCATAAAAATGTCAGAATGTGACAAGAATGCATTAAGCTGTGTTAATGTTCTTTGTGTTATTGCCATATGTAGCCATATCCACATTTATTTGCACCCCAGGTAAAATTGTGTCAAAACACCTAAAATAAAGTAAACTTTCATTGCAGTAGCATAATGTCACACAGAAGTTTTTTAAATTTTGTACATTTATTAAGTTGTGAAAAAATTCCAATGTTAAAAGAAATTGTTCAGAAATTGCATGTTGCAACTTTAACTCTACTTCTAACAATTCCTTAGAAAAATAAATAAATAATATGTGAAGCTCTATATTAAATTAGGCCATGGTATAATTCAATTGAATTGAATTCAGTTTATTTATATAGCGCCAATTCACAACACATGTCTCAAGGCACTTCACAAAAGTCAGGTACATACATTCCAATTAATCCTAATCATTGAACAGTGCAGTCAGATTCAGTTATTTATTCAAATTGGATAAAAAGTTTTTACTGAACATGCATGTAGCGACAGTGGAGAGGAAAAACTCCCTTTTAACAGGAAGAAACCTCCAGCAGAACCAGGCTCAGTGTGAGCGGCCATCTGCCACGACCGACTGGGGGTTTGAGAGAACAGAGCAGAGA